GCCTTGCTGACCTTGCACTTTGCCTCGTCGCCGTAGATAAAGGTTGTACAGTTGCGCTTGTCGTCTGGGACCTTTGCCTTTGCGGCGCCTTCCTTGATACCCTCGGAGTTCCACATGGCGACTGAAATAAAGGCGGCAAACCAGAGAATTGTGTACAGGACGTCGACAGCGAGGAAGGCGTAGGCCGAAGCAAACTTTTGGGCGCGGGACCACATGGGCACCATTGTGAGGTAGATGATGGCTGGTATGGAAAGAAAGCACTATTTTTTTTGGGTATTGTCAGGCCGAGTCTCAGAGGTGGTGTCGAATCCAACTAACCATTACGAAGAAGTACCTAGTACCTCCTCCGATGTCTCCATCCTTGGTCATGACGGCTATGGTCAAGCATGCTGCGACAAAGACGAAGACGGCCTGGAAACAGTGTGCTACGACCTTGCATTTCTGGATATACGACTGTGGTATCCGCATCTTGTAGTATGTGTGGGGTGTGGGTGGTGGAAGCTACTACAGAGGTCTGTCGCTGGTACTATCGCCGTCGCCTTTGCTGAAGGAAGGAGGGGAGGCCAGACTGTAAACACAACAGGCTGTAAACACAACGGAACTAAGTCAGTCAGCCCTGTGGCGGCGGAATACGTGGGTACGGCGGTCGGAAAGGCCGGCGGTGGGACCCGAGTAGTTGCGAGCGGCTTTGTCTTGTGCGGCTCGTCTGGCCCGAACGGTGAACAGGAGCGGTAGGAAAGCGGACAGGCAGGAGACGATGGAGATGGATGTAAAGACTGTGGTCAGGAGTCGGCGTACAGAGCGAGGGGCAGCGACAGGAGATTGGGATTGCGAGGCTCTGGTTGTGAGACACATGCAAAGTCTCAGCCTCAGCTTGGGGGATCCACCACTGTTGCCAGGCGCGTCCCCACTACGCGACGTCTGCCGGCTACGGCTACAGATGCAGGGTTGCTGTCTAACCGGGCAACGCACCTTGGGTCCCTTTGTTACTTTGCCTTGGGCCCGCCGCCATCCAGCCCTATTAATAGCAGTATGAAAGAGAGCGAGCCGCCTTCGCTTGACGGACAAAAAAGAAAAGGTCGTTCCTGGCCGTCGGTGCGATGACGCTGCCATGACGACGACCGCAGATGGGCCACATGTTCCTGCAGAGACAGCAGAGGGCTCCGTCGCCGCATTCGGTCACATGCTCTGGTGAGGGCTGCTTTTTTCTTTTGCTCACTCACTTTGACAATATTCTGGCAGAGTGTCCACGAGATCAGCGGTGAGTGGGTAGTGTATTGTAGGTGGGCAGGCGGGCAGGCGGGCGAGGCGCATGTGGCGCACGCCAGTCGGCCCATAAGACATGGGACGACGCTGCTTCAGCACCGCCACAACGCAGCCTTCGCATCGCCTCTCTGCTATTTACTACTACTACGATACAACATCAGCTCAAGTAACGGCTGCAGCTGCAGCCCAAGCCATCGCATTTCTCACCGGCAACCGTGGTTATCATCATGATTGGTTGAGATGGCTTTCGATACAACGACACTTGGCACCGCAGCGTTGAATCAATTAACCCTGGGTCTGGATCTGGCCCTGAACCAAACGTCTTCGCGCCGCCTACCATCTCCTGGAGCTAGCAAGTCACTCCCTCCGCCGGCTCCCACTATTGCCTGTAAGCGAGGCTGGAATCGCTGCCAAAACCCACGCACAAATCCCGCCCCTGATGTCTCGACTTGTCATGTATGAGCTCAGACAGTCAACAATCCCTTTGTTAGTTCGGAAAAAAGGCATTGTGCTATCGACTGGCGTCACTGTCATCATGCTGTCCAACTGCATGCCCTAGTCGGCAAACCAGTCGCGTCGTGGTCCGACGTTAACCTCTGCATATGCGATGACTGATAAAATCGATATTGGCATCTGTTTAGGAGGCACACGAGGAAGAAACTCATGCGCCCTTCAGCCTGATGCCCTGGTGATTAGTTGGCGTGCTTTTGCTGCCTAGGTTTCTTTCGGGAAATGCGCATCGCGAACAAGATGCGCTGTGTTCCACGGATTCCGCGACATTGCACAACTCATCAAGTCTGCTGCAGCGCCAGTAGCATGCATCCTGAAAGAGCGAGAAGAGCCAATCACTCAACAAACAGAGTCGTGGCAGCACATCGTCACGCGAGTGTGTGTATGCGTGCACATGCAATGCAGGGAGACGGTGCATCAGTATGAACGAAGCCCGACGTGACCCAAAGTTCCTGTTCGTCTCGGTTCAGGCCACCCCTGTCATTCCCCCTCCACCCACGTGGCTCGGCACCATTACACGTTCAAGATGCAATTGTCCACCATACATCACCCGCGACGTTTTGTGAACGCCATCAGAAAGGCTACAACGTCTCGGTCGATACAAGGCCCTACTATAACGTCTATCGTACCCGAGCATCTACTTGGCGCCTTTCCCCACTTGGAAAAGTAGCCGCTCGCGCGCAGTAGCTCATACTAATCATTATTACCCCTGCAGTCCAAGACCATTTGATGTTTTGTAATCATTAATTCAATCCGAGCAAAATGTACCAATACCTCAGCAGAGCGTCGGCTTGTATTTCACTTGTTCTCACAGGACATGTTCAAGCCTTTTTTTTCCAAATCTCTGATCAAAACAACAAGGCCTATCGCGTGGTGACTTGAGCAAACTTCTCTCACATTCGAAGCCAGATGGCTTCCAGTTTCCGCCATACTATTCCCTCTGATCGCTTCCCTGTCGAAAAGGGTCGCTATGTCTTGTACATCAACTACATCTGTCCCTGGGCCCACCGATCCATCATCGTCCGTGTGCTGAAGAAGCTCGAGGACATTGTTGAGCTGGTGGAAGTGGATGATCGAGATGCAGTCCATGGCTGGTCGTTTTCAGGGCGAAGCGGACCCAGCAAAGACCCCATATACGGCGTCAAGACCTTGAAAGAGATTTACCAGAAGGCAGACCCCAATTATGACGGGAGGGTAACTGTTCCGCTGTTGTGGGACAAGAAGCATGGTAAACCGACTTTGATATTGCAGCAAATAGAACCAGTCTGATCACGCCCAGGCACTGCTGTCAACAACGAAAGCACAGATATCGCTCGCATGCTAATCGACGGCTTTGACGCTCTCCTGCCGCCCGAGCAACGTGAGGCGAACAAAGGCATTTCAGCCTTCAGACCATCACACATCGTTCCTGAAATCGACGCTCTAAACTCCTGGATGTACGACACGGTAAACAATGGCGTGTACAAGATCGGTTTTGCATCATCTGTGCAATCATACAATGAGCACCTACGACAGCTCTTCCAGACCTTGGATCGTCTTGAAATCCATCTCTCACAACCTCAGCACCATCCCTATCTTTTCGGACAACACATTACCGAGTCGGACATATATCTTTTCACGACACTGATACGATTCGACGTGGCGTATTACCCCTTCTTCAAGTGCAATCTAAGAATGATTCGCCGCGACTATCCCTGCCTGCATGCTTGGTTGAGGCAGCTATATTGGAATACCGGACCGGAAACCTGCGGTGGTGTGTTTAGATCTAGCACAAATTTTGACGAAGTAGGTAGTGTTTCTTCATATGGAAGTGCGATAGAAACTGAGATTACGACAGATTGCCAGAGGATACAGTTCTGCGGTGGGAAGAGGTGCTGCCCCGAAAGTAGTTGTTCCACCGATAATGCCCTTATAAATTCATGTTGCTTCTTCTCATGTTCAAACACTGTTTCTGTATGCAGGCTTCACACGACCTACCAACCTATACAAAAAGTTATCACTTTCACGTTTTCACCCCTATCTTAGTACGAAATTTGCTCGCCGGCCCCAATTCAGACACTTCTCTTTTCTTTGGGCGACAGCTCTTCTCCATCAACTCAAACTGCAGTGAATCGCTAGGTAGTGAGTATCTCCGCCGAGGGAAGTGTGTTTCTCAGCTACTCATTCTGTGGGCAGACTTGATCTGCGGCACAGTTCTCACACCAAACCAACAATACCAACAATAAGTATCAGGCGCAATATCTCAAACCCTCAAACAAAGCATTTATTTAGTTCGGCTCGTAGTGCTTCGCTCAAACATTTATGAAAATTGTTTGCACTACATTGGGAAAAAAAAGTCCCGTAGCATTACAGGGCGACAACTCCCAACCCCTATAACATTCATGATACTCCCTCTTCGACCCCTCGCAATTTCACAATCGTCCCTCTCCCTTACTTCAACTACAATAAACACCAGCAACACGCATCAATACCATACCCACATACCCCACTCTCCCCCGATTGGCCATGGCAAACATATCCGTGGGCGTATTATCGCCCAGGATCTGCAACCGAATCGCTATAACAACCCTATATGTGTCCGTGCTTGACCGCCAACAAGCCCTGTCCCTGCAACATATCCGCCTATCATACAACGTTCAACGTGCTGTCATGTCAAGAAGGTAATGCACTCGAAACATTGCAATAAGAAATAGTGCGACTATCGTCGTTGGGGCAGAAAGAACGAACAAACGCACTAGTGGCTGATCGGCGGGTAAAAATGTTGCAACATTATGTAGCTGTATTATTGGAGATTTTTGCAGCGGAGCAATCGAACTCCTGGTGTTGGTTTTCCTGAGTTATCGGATAAACAGTTCCTTGAGCGCATAATTCAACCCCAAAGACCAGTGATTTTCGCCCCAGCAAACCCGCACTGCAAACAAGTGTGCTCGAAAAAAAAAACCATAACATAGTTTGCTACAATACAAAACCGAGGGGGATATCAAAGCCAAATACAGAGCAAACCCTCATACAACCCGCAAATTTTCATTTCCCATCGTCACAAAACACTTTCCCCATCTCATCCCCCCACCCCTTTTTTGGTAACCAGCCTACGTCCGACACCCCCCATCCTTTACATGCCCATTCCAACCGGCCTCGACTCAACTCTAACCTCCGTCTTCATCGCAATCCCGCCTTCCCTCCCCCAAATCGCCTCTTCACTCCCCCTATCCCCCTCCGCATCCTCACCCCCATGCACCCCACTCCCCAACGGCACAGACCCCTGCCTGGCTGTCCCCTTGGTCGACCTAAGCGCATACAGCGCCTTCCCCCTCGAGCTTCTCTCGGAGCTCTTCACCGTCTTATCCACAAAGAAGGTAAATAGCGGCGCTAGCGTCGGTATGGAAGCGACGATGACGCCGAGATTGTTTTCGACACTCGACCACATTATGACACCCGAGGAATCGAGGTAGTTGGTCAAAGAGCGGATGGTTTGGATGCGGATTACTTGGATTATGGTGATGAAGGTGCCGAGGGCGAGGAGGCCGAGGAGGACGACTTTTTTGCGGTTTTGGATGCGCGAGGCGAGGAGGACGGGGAAGGGGAGGAACATGCTGGTGTGTGTGTTAGAAGAGGGATTTTTTTGGAGGGTGGAATGGGACGGGTGGGGTTGGGGGAAGAAGAAGAAGAAGAGAGGAAAACTTACACGACAACGTCAAAGGTTATGGTCAGGGAGGAGGTGGTGGTGTAGAAGGGGACGGCGGGGAGACAGGTGCCGGTTATGGTGCGGTCCCATTGCATGGAGATCTAGAAGGGGGTAAGTAGGGGTTTTGAAGGAGGATGGAGGATACGACGTACCGGTTGGCATAGGTTGATCTGGATGGTGAGGAAAGCAAGGTGGAAGAGGATGCAGAGCACTATTACTACGATTGTTGCGGTGCGTGCTGCGCCCTTGGGCATGAAGCGGAGGTAGGTTAACATTAGACTGATTTTGAAGGTCATTATGCTTGTTATGTAGCTGATGATATCGTCAGTGCTTGATTTGAGTGAGAATAGAACTCGTAGACTTACAATGGCGCGCCGATATATTGCAACTGTGTCAGTTAGCGAAGAGCCCACAAAGTACAGTGAGGCGTTTACTTGCCAGCCCGAAATTGAAGAGGTTTTGATCAGGCATATCTTGGACATTTTTTAGTCCAAGTCCCCATTTTGTCTCTGGATAATGTTGTTAGTCATAGCACTGTGTGGTGTGCAAGACAGACTTACGCAGGATGGTGACGACAGCGAAACCGCAACACGCTACCTGTTACCTGTCAGACCCAATCCCATGATAGACACCCGATCGACATTACTTACCCAGCTAAAGGCCAAAACATAGTCATCTGTCGATCGTTACCGTTAGCCATGACCGGCAAGTTCAAGTCTGTCATACGTACCCGCTCCGATCGTCTTGATCATCCACCCTCGGACGTAGAACCGAAGTGACAACACCAACAGTGATGCCACTGTAAATACAATGGCCACACTCGTAATGTGCGAGCCATTATTAACAGCGCTCTCAGGAGTATTATAGGCCCAGCCCATTGTTACGAAATACACGTTCTGTACGTAGATACTCTGTACACCTCTCTCGGTGGGAATCCACGTCAACATAAGAGCCGGCAACACGCTTTGACTAGTTGTTTCGAACGATACCCCCACAGCCTATAGCACCGCACGACAAGGGCTTCATGCTCCTACGGATCGTGAAATGTCCGCCAGCGGCAAGCTTTGACGTGGAGAGCCGGGGGTGCCCAACTGCTTCTACAGACTACACATGCACAAGCAGACCACTTGCCTGGATATTACGACGAGAGTATCACCGAGACCTGTTCGTCATAGCACACACATAAACACTAACGCACATGTGTACCCTTCGATATCGACATGTCATCGCTACTATGCCCACTTACAGAGGATACCACCCCGTGAGCCTCAGACACGCTTATCGAACAAGGGCCCTGTAGCCGCCTATTCAGGATAGTGTACATACCGTGCACGCAAAAGTCCTACAATGGGTGCCGCGAAACCCGGATAATCCCGCCCTTCCTCTGTGCCCGCTAAGAAAACGTACTATTGTCCGGGGCGAAAGCCGTAAGACCTAGTAAACCAAGCGGCGCACCTACAAAACGGGAGGTCACTCCTAGGGCTGATGCGGCCTGGAACGAATAATGAGCATGTTCTTCCTTGATGGTCTCCTACATACTCGCCTAGAGAAAATAAAAAAAAAAATGGCGCCGACCCGTCCCTTAGTACACGGACGGGGGTGGCGGTTAAGCCAACAGCTTGATGCGGTTAAGGTATGCAGAGGTCCCTGATTTCTTCTCGGCGCAATTATTTGACATGGGTGGTACGTACGCACATGGGTGGTTGCATTGACCCTGGGGGATTGCTGTCACGCCAGGGAGAACCACGGGTTTGGTGCGGAAGTTGAATATGCCGGGAGGCTTTGCTCACAGGATTCCGAATCCTCCATGGAATGGAAGCCCTTTACTCGAAGGAAACCCGGGGTTGGGTTCAGAGATAGGTGCCAGCGTCTTTGGCAACGGCCGGCACACGTGGTGGTGGTTGCGGGCAAGGGGACCCACACCGCCGGACACTACTAACCCATTGCCGTGCCATAGCCATGCTTAGTTCTGGGTCTCGCCAGAGAATAAGGCCTACAAGCCTTGTAGGCCTTTTCTTATAATGGGCTGGCTGCTGTGCAGCACTCGTGTTGATCGGCACCCTCTGTTAAATACTAGCCTTTCAAGATGCGGTTCCTAAGCTTTGCCCTCGCGATCGATGGCCTTGCATCTGCCTACAGTGTCGCCGCCACTTGCAAGACGTTCCCTGGTGACAAGAACTGGCCAGCGCAGTCTGACTGGACTGCTTTTAACAGAACCGTGGGCGGACGACTCGTTGCTACTGTGCCCCTTGGATCACCATGTCACGGATCGGCTTTCGACAGCGCAAAGTGCGAGAGTTTGAAGAGCCAATGGCAGACGGAGAAGATTCAGTATGCAATCTTACCCCATGTTTCAAGAATACACGCACTTACTCCGGTCCAGTTACGAGTCTTCCTCTTCAGTAATGGCGCCCTTCTTCGCAAACCAGAGCTGCGATCCGTTTCAGCCCCGTGACCGCCCGTGTGAGTTGGGTAACTATGTTCGGTATGCTGTGAATGCCTCGGGCCCTCTAGACATTCAGAATGCAGTAAACTATGCCACTCAGAAGAACATTCGGCTGGTTATCCGTAACACTGGCCATGACTACCTTGGCCGCTCTACCGGCGCAGGGGCTTTGGCAGTGTGGACCCATTATCTCAAGAGCATCACCTATGTCCCCAACTACCAGAGCGCCGAATACACTGGCCCAGCTTTTAAGATTGGTGCTGGTGTCCAGGGATTCGAGCTGATGGCTGCTGCCCGAGACCGCGGACTAGTCACTGTTGGAGGTGAATGTCCCACTGTCGGTGTCGCGGGTGGCTACACCCAAGGTGGAGGTCACTCAGCCGTCAGCACCAGCTTTGGCCTTGCCGTCGACAATGCTCTCGAATTTCAAGTTGTGACCGCTGGCGCTAAGCTTGTCAATGCCAGCCCACGCGAGAACCCAGATCTGTACTGGGCCCTCAAGGGCGGCGGCGGCAGCACCTACGGCATCGTCGTCTCCATGACCGTGAAGGCCTACAAGGAAGCCGTCTTCGGCGGTGCCTCGCTCTCCTTCTTCGCCAAAGACATGAGCAAAGACACCTTCTACAGCGGCATCCAAGCCTTCCACGAGGAGCTCCCCGGCATGGTCGACGCTGGCGCAATGGTAGTCCACTACTTCACCACTGGCTTCTTCTCCATCGCGCCACTCAGCGCCTACAACAAGACCGAAGATCAGGTCAAGACCATCATGGCTCCCTTTGTCGCAAAGCTCAACTCTCTAAATGTCACTCACACTGTCTCCTACTCCGCCTTCAACACCTACTACGAGCACTACGACAAGTACTTTGGACCCCTTCCCCTCGGCAACATCCAAGTCGGCATCGCTCAGTACGGCACACGTCTCATCCCTCGTGCTGTCGTCGCCAGCATCGCACCTACATGGCAAGCCATCATTGAGAAGGGCGTAACGTGGATCGGTGTGGGTACCAACGTCGCACCTTTTGGTTCCGACAAGACCACCTCGGTTCATCCCGCATGGCGCAAGGCCATCGTCCACGCTACACTTACCCTTCCATGGAACTTCACCGCGCCGTGGTCTGAAGCCTTTGAGATCCAGAACAAGATGACCAACGAGGTTATCCCACTGGTTGAGAAGGCGACACCGGGCAGCGGTTCGTATGTTAACGAGGCGGATTTCCGTCAGCCCAACTTCCAGGACACGTTCTGGGGAACCAACTATCAGAAGTTGTTGGGGATCAAGAAGAAGTGGGATCCCCAGGGCTTGTTTTATGCTACCGTGGGTGTTGGCAGCGAGGTGTGGTCGGTTAAGACTGATGGGCGCATGTGTCGTGCGTAAGAAGTGGACCTAGTCGAGTTTAGTATAAGATCAAATTTAATATTAATACTGTTTCAAAAATCCTTTTGTAAATCTTCGAATACGTGGTGACGTGACCGTAAGTGTACCGTATCTATTGATTATAGGGCGCGTAGAGAAATTACAAAGTGCACAAGACTTAGTCAGTGTTCCCACTAATACTAGTGTGCGTGCGCACGTACCACACTCATACTCCAAAAAAATATCGACCCACCACCCCCAATTGCAACTACCACTACCATTATTGTGAGTATTCTGGCAAAAATACAAAAAGATGGACTCGCGGGGAATCGAACCCCGGACCACTCCCATGCTAAGGGAGTATTATACCACTAAACCACAAGCCCAATTGGTGAATTGAACAGAAACTGTGATTTCTTATTCGATGGAAGTCTCGATTCTTAGTCCCTTTATATTTCTACAGTACAAGATTATTTTACACGTAATCTAGATCGAGTGCACCCGATTCCATCGCTCAGCAGTGGGCAGTCGGCCCAACCCAACCGAAGCGAGCATACTCCGCTGACTCGCGGGCCGAGCTATCATCTGCACACTAGCAGCCGTGTTCCTGCGCAGCTTCCCGACTAAGATTAGACAGCGACGCATCCGCGCAGTAAGGCTCGGACAAATGTCACTTAGGCGATGCGCCATGTGCTATTGATTCTGTGACCCTGACTTGTTGTTCTGCGCCTCAAAGCTGCTACCGTTACTTAAACTATGCGGTAGACAGGACATGTGCCGGAGGTGGGCGGTGTTTTCCCTGCATTAGTGTAAGTAGTCGTGGATGGGAAGCGCAGTGGCTCAGATGGAGACTAGGTGGGCTTCACACTCCAATAGAGATAGAACGTGCGATGGGGAGTTCCCGACCCGCTGTGCTGCTTGAGATCGTAAGTTTCTAATGGTGCATTGGGCGGAGGGTGCCGTGTCGTTGCGTGGCGAGCGGGTGCTTGTAGGGAATGGTGTGGATCTGACGCTGAGTAGAGGCCAAGGCACGGTTGAGTGTAGGCGAAATTACTGGGCCATATTGAATGAGATTGATTATTGTATTTGCCCAAGGCTTCCACCAAGACCTCTGTTTAGGTCTTATGTAGTGGCCATCTCAACATCATAACGGGGCATGTTCCCGCATAGTCGAGACAGCTTCTTGAGACATTTACGAAGCAAAACATGGTGATTTCAAGATCTAGTTTCGAGTTTGCGGGGATGTCCTTTCGGTTCCGATGTGGTTGAGTGCTCTGGGCCCTGGCTAGTCGATCTGGACTCAAGTTCTTTCTCACGCTTCTCCAACGCCTTTTCCCTCTGGTCCAGCTCAGCTTCTTTACGGTTCAGGTCAGCCTCGCGCTGGTTGAGTCTCTTCGTTTGCTCATCCGTTTCTCCTTCTTTGTGTGCGTCTGACCCTTGCTTGCTTTGAGTTGGCTCATCCTTCGTATTGTCATTGCCGTCCGTATCTGGCACTCGACTGCTGACATCGGTCGGTCTAGAGTTCAGTTTGCGTGGCTTTTTACGACCTTGAGGACCATCCGTCTGGGCCGAGCCTTCATGCGGCTGCTGCTCTGATGTGCCGTCCTTAGACTCCGGTACTGATTCACCACTGGTTGCCTGTGCACCCGCTTTAGCTGCATCCGAGACATCCTCTTGTTTTGGAAGCATGCCCTTTGCGTTCTGCAGCCATCCTTCATCCAGCTGACCCCCACCACCCTCGCTTTTGAACTTCTCGAGCTCCTCAGCACCAGGCATCTCTTCATCTTTGGCCTGGCTAACCATCTTTTCCAATGTCCTCTTTTGCTCCTCGCTCGCTGCCCATTCCGGTAGAAAGCTCGTCAGCTTTTTCATCCCTTTTCCTGCTACTTTTCCCATGTTCACAAAAGGTCCATGAATTGCCCCTGTAACGCCACCTATACCGGCGCCCAGTCCACCCAGTAGCGTCGACGAAATACCTCCAACTAAGGTCCCACTGATTGCTCCCAAAGTTGCTCCTGGTGCAACACCAAGACCTGTACCCATAGCCATGCCCTGAAATGCGCCTGAGCGTAGGTACTTTGCTGTTTTTCCAAATGACTCGGCTTCAATCTCGGCATTCGTAGCTTCTTCTGTTAATCTCTCTCGTTCTTCGGGATCGCCGGCTGCTGCTGCCGCATCCTTCAATTCTTTGGCCTTCTTCTGAGCTGCGAGGGCAGCGTTGGCGGCTTTCCCTGATTCCTGGCGGACTTCTTCATCGGAAACAGTGGGTTTGTTAGATTTCTCGTCCTCCTTCGACTTCTGATCCCCATCCTTGTTCAACTTCTTTGGAGGCATCCTGTGAGTTGTACCTGTTTGTAATCGTGTTAGTTTGCAGCTCTGCTGTTAAAGAGAGGTCGCATATTGAAGTACGTCATCGACGCTAGCATCACGCTAAAGCGCGGAGGATTCAAGAATGTATACATGTCGCCTGTCTTCACATTCAAAACGTTTGATTGATGACGAACTAATCGCATTTTCTCTATAGCATTGATACAAAAGTCTAGATATGACTCTTCGTAACTACGGTTTCAGTCTAGAATGTACAGTAATAGAATACTACTGCACTCTGCCACGTGATTACCCATGCAACTTGCTATGCGCCGATACAATCGCTTCACGATTATGCGAAGTGACCAGTATTGAACTCTCTTAATTGAATATATATTGGAAGAGTCTCATGATACTGACAATTGGATGAATCAATATTCCGGCAAGAAATATCTAAAAGCGCATAGTGACTAGCCAACTTTCAGTTCGGCCTGCTCTAACGACTAATCAGGAACGATATAGTATTCTACCTACATGAATTAGGTTCCTTATAAGTGTAGGGTATTGTCAACAATGGCATTCCATGCTATGTAATGACCGGGTCTCATTATAGCCTCTTGGTATTGCAGTGCACTCATTTCCTCAACACACAGGACGCGCATTTATAACAGCCTCTTCTGAGGAGTAAGATGAGGATATAAATGAAGTGGAAAGTCCCATATATGAATATATAGTTTGCTGCTTGCTACTTATAGCTTGACCGATAGTGAATATGCACGAGTGGCAAACATCTGCTTGCTTTTAACAGAAGTGATAGGATTTCGTTCTACATTCCCCCACAGGAAGCAAAACACACTGTTTCTGTTGGCAAATCAATCATTTGAGACTTACTGGTCGAAGTTCTTCCTCTTTTAGCCAGTGCGTGATACCTGTCCAGTGTCCGCAATATGTTTGCTCGATGTTAGGGTCTTGCCTTGACCCCCCTTATTTCTGTTGCCTGAACACTCGCGCTTTCACCTACCTTCACTTTTACCTATTCGGGTACCATATTGAAGGATTCCCGCACTTGGTACCTACAGCGTGACCTCGTCATAGCTAGCGTTTGCTCCTCGCTAGTTCTCTGTTTACGCTGATACACCACTATCAATTCACAAACCTCTGGCTCCAGCTCTTTGGCGCTTCTATTTTCAAACTACACAGGCAAAAATGGCTAACAATTTTCCTCTTACGCCTTTCCCTTCCACCCCTTCTCGCAGTACGTGTCCCATCAACGTAAAGCTAGCCATAGGAGATGCGCTAACAAGTTCAGAAACCCCACACCCCTCATACACGCCAACCACTAACTCGCCTTTTATTGAAACACGTGCCACCACGTATGAAGAACTTATCCAATCGCTTGATGTGCAAGCGGGCAGCTTGCAGTATCTCCCTTCTGACGCTGAAGTTGACAAACTCTTCGATGAAATTCATGAAGGGCCTTCGCTGAAGTCATCGAGTCGTTGTTCCAGCACACCCAAGCTTGCATTTGGCACATATCGGGAAGATAGCGTTTACATAGCCCAGGTCTATGTCTATCTTCGCTCTCCTTCGTTCAAAAATACCGAGCCGTCCATGGTGTTTGGTAAGCGTATGGCAAACACTAAGTATACTGTCATGAACACAAAGGACATCAATTGCGCAGATGGTATGCTCCAGGCCAACAAGTTTTGGAGGCCCTTTATCAAAGATGGCAAGTTCGAGCTTGACGCAGTTAAGGCTGTTCTGAAAGCTCTCTTTATTCGCAAAGGTATTACTCTATCGGCTCCAATACCGGTGGGTGGTTCAGTTTTCCGTTCAAACTTAGTCCTAGGATGCGAGATGTTCAGGATCTCCAAGCAGAGCCGTAGGATTTTGGAGAAGACACCTAAGCAAGTTGATAAGAGCGCGAATGCAATAGATGTATCTAGGGCGCAGTCCTCATCGCCAGCCATGTCAATCACCTCCTCAACAATCTTTCCGGTAACTATAAGATCGATTCTGTAACGGCGGCCTGTTATTAACTTCGTAAAGGTTGCACCTACGGCTCAGATATACAGCCAGAACGAACTCAGCTGCCATGCAGATGCCAATAGACCTCTATTCGTTGATTTGAGCAAGAAGCGTCATAGTTCGCGGCTCGCTATCACTGAACAGGATACAATCAAAGTCGAAGCCAACAAAAGCGTAACTACCAGTAAGCTTGCCGCGGTTGATAACCTGAATTCAGACGCTCTCCTCTTTCCAGGAAATCAACTAGAAGAAGTCGGCGAAGAACCTCCCTTCATTCCTGAAGATGATCCAGAAGAACTTTCAGAAGAACCCGAGGAATCATCTGTCTCTAAAACCGATGTACGCCGAAATACCACACAAAACAAGTATATCTTACCATATGCTAACTTCTCATAGACTCCGAAGCCTAGCAAAGGTATGAAAACCATCATCGAGTCGCTGTCAGCATCATACAATGATCGGAAGACCTTCAGAAAAAGATCGATGAAATGACAGCCCAGGTAACCCGTCACATTACTACTCTTGAAGAGCTTCGTCGAGAAAAGGAGCAGTTTGATGCTAAATATGAGCGTAAGAGACGAGCATTCGAAGAAAGGATCAGCGTTGAGGATCAAGATAAGGTTAGCAAGATAACTGAGATTGAGTCAAAGTCTCAGACTATGCGAGAGAGGCTTGAGGCTGAGAAACACCAACTGGGTGTAATGACTCCAGAGATGATGGCTGTCTGGGAGTTATCTCGTAAATTCGTGTGCAAGGAATATGGCATCAAGGAAGGTTTGCCGTCGAAGCGTCAAAAGACTAGCCACTAGTTCTTCAAAAACAGGTTCGAAGACACGACTTGAACGGGGGACTTTCTTGGCATGCTATGTTCTGGTGTATCTGGGAGTAATGGGTGGAATGTTAATGAATCTTGGGTCATTGCCTGAGTTGGCAGAAAGCACTTGATTACTGTAGTGCTATTGCTAATCTCATAGTGCTATCCAGCCAAAACGAGAATATTGGAGAGATATCATGTAAGGGCGTCAGCTGGGCAAAAGTTTCATCGATTGGCATTCTTTTCTATTATATAATTCGGTTATACTACCAAGTCCCGACTCTGATGCATTACATGGTGCCGCTATTTACACTCTGTCAATTGAAACTGAAATTGACAAGGATCATATGGGGACAGCAAAGCATAGTAGGGGTATAGTCGTTTTGAGACAAGTACGAACGCTTTATATTAGAGAATGAGGGACGAGGAAATCCACACAAACATCCTCATGTCTACGTGATAGGCTTATATGGAAAGCCTAATGTAATTAATCTGTAAATATAATCTCACACATGTCTATTTTGACTACCAAACACTTGGCTTGCTTACAACTAGAACACCCGAAATGATAGTACGTTAACATGCGATAGTGATCCCTAGATCAAAGAGCAGATTTCCATACTAAGTAGATATTTCAAGAACTCCACATATCCGCAATATCTCTAACCTTGAGCTTTCGGCCTACTATATCTCAAACGCTGGGTTTCTACGCTTTCTAGAAGCCTCCTTCACTCCCATCCTCTAGCGAGACACGCTAGTGCCCGTTAGTGCCCGCTAGTCGCGTTTACACATGGCCCACTAGTACACAAACAGTATATTTAGTATAAAAAACAGTCGCGGCCACGAGACCTGATAATAAGAACACAACAAAGAGCCACGTGCTTGAATGTGAAATCAATCAAACACGCACCAGATATAAGTATCAAGAGGATCGATCGTGTAGTAGGACATTAGCTAATAGCATAACAAGAGCAGTGCCAATCAACAGAAATGGCGGAACCCGACGACACAGAATGTCTATCAACGAAGGCTCTGCAGCAGATACACAGTCTCATAGGTAAAGACGCTTCCTACCTCGAGCACCTACCTATAGACAAGATCCGGGAACCAGAATTTGAAGAAAAAAAGCACAAGCGTCTCACTTCACTGCCCAGACGCATTCTCTTCGGCCAGATCAAAGAAGGCGAGAAAAAGGGTTTAGAAGTCTGGATCCTTCCGACCAAGACACGCGACGAGAACCAGTGGCCTGGACACCGCTTCAACCTCTTCGATCGGCATGGAAACCTGCACTCTAGCATCACGATAGAGGAGGCCATACGGTTGACCAATGCGGCAAATGCATTCAAGTGGCTGAAGAAAAATGGCACAATGGATTTGACTCATCTGCGAGCTGTGATCAGGTACTACTTCATGGTCAAGAAAGTCAACCCCCCGTCACCGTGGCCGGTTGACATGCGCTTTACCGCAGAATTACTCGCAGCATGCGAGGCGGCAGCCGAATTTACTACCAAAGAAGCCCGTGTCAAACAGAAGACTCAGGAGCGCGAAGCAGGTGCTGAGCCGGCATACAAGATGAGACCATCACTTGCTCCACAGAAAGCTCCGGGGAAGTTAAGACTCAAAGATGGGCTAAGGGCAGAGACTACAGCGACACCAGTGAATGGACAGAAAGCAAACACGACAAAGACGCCCGCGACTATGCCAACCGGGCTAAAAGCCAACATGACGCTGCCCTCCTCTAAAGCCCAGAGGATGACAGAGCGTCCACTCTCACCGCTTTTCTTGACAGAGCTGTTCCCTTCTTCATCTCCCGAAGATGAGGCCAGTCTCTTCATTCCCGAGCGCCGGCGTCGTGCCGCTACATCTGAAACCTTTCAGGCTCCAACTCCAGTTCCACCTACAGGTCCCGCATCCACAGGTCAACCAATGATCGAGCCGATTGATGAGTTCAGACAAGCCTTTCAAAGAAAAATGCTTCCTCAGCCTGCACCCATGCTTCCGCCAACATCGACGCCTACACCTACACCTAGCATCTCGACTTCTAGCATTCACACCATGTCTATGCAACAGGATATCAATAAACCGGGCACCAACAAACCAAATACACCCGCGGTCCCAGCAGCATTATCTCCAGCAACCCCGACTCCCATCCCCCCCAACGCCACCACCAGAACCACCTTGGTCAACCCCGACATTCCCCCTCCCCCTCCCCTCCAACTCCCCAGCACCCCTCCACGAACCTCCACCTCATCATTCATCCCTGCCTACCGCGAAACCCTAACCAAGCACTCGCAACTCACCAACCGCCTCCGCACGAACCAGTCCTCCCTGCACACCAAAGAAACCCAAATCCACGCCTTGCAAGGCCAAATCCGCGATCTCGAAGCTCAGGTCCAGGAGATAAAGGCTGAGGAGAAAGAGTTGAAGGACGAGATCAAGGGAGTGGAGATGGAGAGGAAGAGGTTGCATGATAGTTTGACGCCTGAGAAGAGGGAGATTTTGTTCTTTGGAAGGGAGATTTGGGAGAGGGAGGGGAAGAGGGCTAGGCTTGAGGAGGATGGGGGAGCGGAGAGCAATGAGGACATGAATTTGGGTGAGTAAAAGGGCGGGTGCATGTGGAGAGAAGGGTTTGTATGGCGTATGGAGTTGGATGGATGTCTACAACACACACACCGCTTTTCGCAGAGCGGTACCTGTGAGACATTACAGCTAGCAACGACCTAGCACCACGATCAAGGACGGAATTTGTATACCAGCTTGTCAGCGTATCCATGTACAATAGAAACAAAAAGGGGTCTAATGTAATCGCTTCTGATTATATTCAAGGATATCGTAGATAACCGAGTCCCTTCTCCCCAATGACGCCTGCAATGCAATGCAAACACCGAACTGTATAGCACAAGTAATAATGGTAATAGTAGTAATAATAATATGGACAAAGCAAAACATGCCTTTTCTCAGAATCTATAGGTAATTATGTTAGCATCAAGACATGATAGGTAGGGCTTATATAAACGGCTCGGGAAACAAACATACCTTATCTCATAATTGCCTGCTCTCGTCATATACCGCACCCACTTTACGCTACTGTAATTGCTCTTCTCAAACACCTTGAGATAGCGTACCAAGAGACCAGAGCTAGTGAACATGAGGAGTGAAAAGCTAAGATTGAGTGGTGGTCGGGACCATGCTTTTTGGTTGGTCATGCTAGTCAGACTAGCTTCAGCGCTTAGGACAAACTCGCTTTGACCCGTGAAGCGTGGGATTTTCCAAACAATGTTGTTGTGTTCTGGTTCGTATTTGGCTTTGCCCTGTGAAGTTCGCTCGGTGATTTTGGCGGTGTTTAAAGGCGTGGGTATGCGCACGACGACATTGGTAGCAAAGAGTTTGGAGCCGTAGTTGGCGCGAATGGCAATGCTGTATTCGACTTTTGTCTTGCCAACCTCATTTACAATGGCGTGGACTTTGAAAGGTAGGTTGACGTTCTCGGTCGCCCGATAGCGCATGAGCTCAAACTCGCCGTCTGGTGGAACAAAAGATATTATCCTGTCAGCATCGAACTTGCCGAGCTTGACGCACTGGTGGAATTGACAGTCCTCCAACGTGACACTACCAGCTGCTGCCCTTGTTGCCTTTGCACCCGCCTTGTTGCCCGAGGGTTGTTGTAGATGGTCCTCGCCCAGCGTCAGTCGGTCGTTGAGGCCAAACTTGCATTCTGGGGTGCCGGAAAGGTATGCGCGCATGATAATCTGACCATTCACATCTGCCCGGAGCACTGTTCCGGTTGCGGACATGAGCAGGTTGACATCCTCGATAACGTCGACAAAGGCCTCGTTCTTGCGGTACTTGATGTCTGCCCGGCGCCATGAAAGCGCACCCGTGGCCTGCATAGTGATTTTGGAAGAGTCCTCCTATTCCATAGTCAGTAGTTATTCCTGATATACTCACACATGGAGAAGCTCACCATTGTCCGCTCTGACTTGACCCCCTCTGTGGTAATGTACATCTTCAGCGTGTCCGTCTCGGTGTTTTGGGGGTATCCAAAGTCGAGAATCTCGTCGAGCAGCTCATAGACAAGGACAAAGTTGTTCTTGACAGCCTCCTCATCGAACTTGCCAAAGTAGGCCTTGCCCAGCCCGACAAGGCGGTAAAGAAACTCAAAGACAAGGGCGGCATTGGCGTTGCTCTTGGTGACAGCTACCAGATAGATGTTCTCGTGCTTGACATGGCTAAAGGTGGTGGAGCCCAGGGTCAGGATGGGGGAGCGGACTTGTGCATTGGAAATGACCTGGATGCGGAAGACATCGGCCAGGCGTGGGCGGCAGTCGTTGCGGAAAGCGCGAAAGATGAGGTTCTCGCCCTTTTGATTGAATATGAGGATGCCGGAGAGCATGGCGGCGAGGTGTAAAGAAAGCAAGACGGGCGTCGACAGCGAATTGGCGGCGTCGGGCGTGTTGATGCTGCGAGCTCCACTCGCGACGCCGCGGGATTGAGCTTGGGCCATGCTCGCTTCGGCAAGGGTCTCAGGAGAGGGAGAGGGCCGGGTAAGCGTAACTCGCGCCGACGTTCACTGTCCCAATGCAATGCAGCCAGCACTCGCATCCCGCCTCGTGGCCCTGCCGCCTGAGCTGCGCTGCCACATCTACTCTTTCTTACCAGAGCTCGTGTACAAGTATATATGGCCCGTCGTCAAGTCTTCTCCCGTCGGCGTGTGCAGCTGGCCGTACTACAGGCTACCGACGTCGTTGCTCTTGACTTGCAAGCTCATCTATCAAGAAACCAGAGATGCATCGATCCAAAAGCGATTGTGTGATCTCAACGAGCAATACCCACCCGTCGTCGTTTTGGGACCAGCCAATGTACTGTACGAGCCACGAAATGGCTTTATGGACGAGTTGTTCGGTCTCTTGTCCAGGCACAATGGCAACACTTCATCCATGTACGATGGCAGTGAGACGCTTGCTGGACGCACTCCCAAGCGCATATGCCGTGGCATAACAGCTTGGACCAACCAGAGTCTCGAGACCAGGCTCGGAGTTCACTGGGAACAAGTTTACCAGCGCCTCCCCCGAGAGCTAGGCTACTCGGAAAAGAATCTGAAGATTTTCGTCGCATGCACCTTGACCAGGATGGCACATAACAATGCCAAAGAAGTCCGGATTCGACTAGTGATTCGCGGCAGCGCTTTTAACAACGCCTGGATCTTCGAAAGGCGTATGATGGACTATGTTCTTCAGTACAAGACGAGAGCACTCGGGAACTCCCGTTGCGATGCTGAGAGTATGCGTGCCAAAGAAGCAGTGACTGTTGTTCTTCCGCCTCAACCACATGGAAGTTATGTTGATGAATTTATTGCATGGATGCTGGAGGACAATCTTGGTTTCGAACTAGAAGCACCGTCAGTCCAGGACGAACGACTGTTCTGTAAGCATGGCCGTTCTGCCAATCATCACGGCGACGAGAAAATAGATACGTCATAGAGTTTAGCCAAGCGGTCTCTGGCAGTTTTCTCCTTCATATCAGACATGTGTTACACAAGTGATACCTTCGAAGTGTGAAATCTATTCAAGTTTTGTGACTATAACTATATGTTTATGTGAATTGTATTGGCCCATCCTACCAGACCGAGTCTAATACAGCACGCCCTTTGTACTCCTAACCTCGCCCTCCCACTGCTTCACCACCGTCGTCGCATGTCTGATTGCCACCGCAAGTGCCTTGAACGCACTCTCCGCCCGGTGGTGATCATTATCACCCCTGATGCAATCCACATGTAGTGTGGTACCCGACGCCTGAGCAAAGCTCTGCAGACAATGCGGAATCATTTCGCAGCTCAGGTCGCCAATCTTCTCCCTCTTGAGCCCCAGCTCAATGACACTGTACGGCCGGTTTGACAAGTCAATGACGGCTCGCGACAGGGCCTCGTCCAGTGGCGCATATGCGTGTCCAAAGCGTGCAAGTCCCGTGCTACCCTGTAGCGCATTCCTGAATGCCGAGCCGAGCGCTAAGAAAGTGTCTTCGCTCGTGTGGTGGTCATCAATGTGCAGGTCGCCTTTGCATCGTATGCGCAGACTCCAGCCGGCGTGCTTAGCCATGGCGTGGATCATGTGGTCGAGGAAGCCGATGCCGGTGTCGACAGAAATCTCCTGCGATGCAGACTTTTGGGTAGCATGATCCTTCTCGCCTTCGCCATTGAGATTGGCCTTGTCGAGGGCGGCCCAGAAGTCGCTGTGCGGGTAGGGCGCAAGTTCGCCGCCGTCCAAGTTGATAGAGACTTGGATCTTGGTCTCGTTTGTATCGCGGTTGAGGGCCCAAGTGCGTTGCATTGTGGCGGTGGATTGATGGCCTCGGATTTATGGGGGTTTGACTCAGTCGATTTCCAGATAAAAGGATAAAGAGAACGTTGCACAAAAAAGTTTAGACTAATCACTGACTGGAGAGGGGTGCTAGCTTCCCCACGCTCCACGTCATGTCCGCCAAGCAATATAGGGCTGAAAAAAAGTTCTGGCCAACCACCGCTTCGCCGAACCAAAGTCCGCTCTCGCCCCAAAATTCTGAGCATATCGCAAAGTCGCGCCTCTTTCTCATGCCAACACTCTGAAGCAGTGTCGCATAACCGTCTGGTCACGTCTGTCTGTTACTCAACTTATCAACACCAACCACAAACAATCATGCCAGGAGCCACGAAAGATTCCGCGCCAGTCCAGATCGTGGACCCAACTTCCGAGACTGGCGAGGAGATTGACCCAGCCGTCGACCGCGACAGGATCCGAGTCGTATGTCAAAATGAAACGATGAAATCTGTAAATCCGCGTCTAACATCACGTGTAGCTTTCTGGTTCCACAGAAACAGCAGCATCTTTCCAGTTTGATGGCGAGGACCATACGCTAGGCAACGCGCTGCGTTATATCATTCACAAAAAGTAACAGAAACTGAACATGTTTACATGAATGACTGTTAACTATTTTTCTTAGCCCCGACGTCGAGTTTTGTGGTTACTCCATACCGCATCCATCAGAAGCAAAGATGAACCTGCGCATTCAGACTTATGGTAAGCTTTAGTTTCCAAACACATCGAGGACAGAGCTGACATGGCATCAGACGGCGTCAGTGTTTACACTGTACTGGAAAAAGGTCTCGAAGATCTCATGGCCATGTGCGATGTTGTTGAGAAGAAGTTCACCATTGCACGTGACGAGTTTGTTAACAAGATGGAGGAGTAAATGCAGGGTTTGTGAGACACTATTGCATTGATGGCGTTCACGGATATCATGGGTCAATGGCGAACGGAAAGGAAAATGGTATTGTCTTTGGCTATTTACATCGCATCCTGGACTTGTTTTTCAATTCCGATTTCAGGCGACGACAGCCCACTCAGTTGCGACCCTGGGAGCATAGATTAGTATTCTGGAATTTGATTACTCAGAGGTTCAACCGAATGCTTACTTCCAAAAAGCCGTTGATGAAGTTGTTTGGCAGCCGTGCCTTGGGATCCTCTTCGGTACGGAAGTACTTGAGTACGTGTGACAGTTGCTTCCAGAAGTTGAGTGTTTCCTGAAATTTATGTTAATCCAAAGAAGGTCTCCTTGAATCTTGCTCTCCGGTTGTGCCATACCTGAAATTCTTGGTGGCTGTTAAATAACAGCACGTCGACTGTTTTCAGCTGATTCACGTATCTATGCCGCTCGAATTCCTGCCGCATTTTGGTCCGAAGTTGGGATACTGGCATGTTGAGCGAATACATGGTCTGGATCTCGGGAGCCTGTATAGTTCCTATCAGCCTCCCGCGCTTGTGCGTTGTTACTGCTGCCCGCATGTCTCGAATCCAACGCGTCCCTTCGCTTCCGGTCTCTTATTTGCACCACAATTGGTAGTAAACCAATCATCGGCTTCAACGTATCCTCTCTAGGGTATGGGGAGTATGCGTACCGACCGCAGCCAGTCCCGGTAGCTGTGAATGACCCTCTTCTTCGCATCGGCCCAGTTGACCGCTATGCCCGAATTAGCCTTGGACTCCCCCAATGGTTGATACGGATATTCGACTCACATGAGCGCGTGCGCTGGGCGAGGTAGGTAGGGTTAATGACCATATTGACGGTGTTGCGGAGCTCCAGTTGTCCCAGGGCGGGAGTTGCAGTGACGATGCGGCTCGGGTGGAGTAGAATGCCAAGCCGTGGCGTTAGCGCGGATTTGACTGGCAGCGCATTCGCAAACTTGACGACCAACTGCTTCTTCTAATCACCGCCACAACTACATAATACATAGACACCAGACACGAGGTCGAAATCGAAATCCAATACCCCGAAAACAAGTTCAACTCAACCTACATACTATTCGATCATGCCTCCCGTCCGCACGGCACGCGCCTCTCGCAAGGCTCCGCCCGAAGGCTTCGACGACATCGAGGACACGCTCCTAGAGTTCCAGACTAAGATGAAAGACGCCGAGAACGCTTCACATGAGGGCAAGAAGAAGTACGAGATGACGTGGCCCATCTTCCAAATCACGCACCAGCGCTCCCGCTACATCTACGACCTTTACTACACTAAAGAGGCCATCAGCAAGCAGCTCTACGACTACCTGCTCAAGAATGGATACGCGGATCCCATGCTGATTGCCAAGTGGAAGAAACAGGGTTACGAGAAGGTGAGTTGTTTGCACTTGTTGGTACAAGAATGTGGACTAACGCAACTTAGCTATGCTGCACGCGCTGCATCCAGACAAAAGAAACCAACTTCCGGTCTACCTGCATATGCCGCGTCCCGAGAGATCAGCTTAAAGAGAACCAGGAGATTGAATGTGTCAACTGTGGCTGTCGAGGATGTGCTTCGAGTGATTGAGCACCGTCAAGATTTTGAGATACCATTGGAGTTATGATAAAGTGTCAAGAGTTGGTTGGACCAGCCAGGACTTGCTGAAAGGCCCGACGACTGTGGATCGATATCCGTCCTACCAGGTAACACATTCCTAGTAGACGCTAGATGCTAGATGGCAGACACCACTATGTCGGCCCGCGCAACTGTTACGGGAACATTCTTTACCGGGGTTACATAAAGGAACACAAGGAAACTGATGCATAGGGTGTGTCAATCAGACCAAAATGATTAAAATATAACTGTTAACACGTCTACAGAAAAACCGTTGCATAAAGTGAAGCCGTCTCTTGCCAGAGCCGAACAACGCCTCCAATCTACCGGGGGGTATACCTAATAAACTGATCCCAAAACAACATGACTAGTCTAATCGTAACGCAAAAACCCAAGTCGCTAGGTTCGCTTGTGTAAAACATGATTTCATATCAAAGGCCAATTATCACCCATCGACGGCCTAGTCACATCGCGTGCATCCCGCAGCGATCCCCTATTCTCACTCCGCTTCAGCCGCGGCCCCGTCATATCGCGCCCGAACCGCGATGTAGGCAGCTGCTCGAGTATATCCTGACGCCGCGCCCATACCGTCGGCGGCGGCGAAGGCCACAATTCTGATATCTCCGATCCCAGACTCTTCCTCGCCTCCCCTGGTCGCAGTCGAAACGGGCTGCCTCCATCGATAGGCGAGTCGGGATTAGAATCTGTTTTTGCACGCCCGACTGGCGAGTTGCAGGGAGGTGGAGTCGTGGGTCGTGTTACGCTCATGCCTTGTTTGTCGCGACTGTAGAATGCGGCCATTGTGAAGACGCGGCGGCTTCTTGTACTGCTGCTTAGTGAGGGGAGTAAGGGCGAGTGCGCCTTTTCGGGGCCTAAGGCGGCGAAGGAGGTTATTCGATGATGTGACTGGTGGACTTTGCGGCGGCGCCAGAGGATTAGCAGGATGAGACCCCAGGCGCAGAGACCGACGGCGATGGGGATCATTGCGAGGCCGACTTTTGTTTCCAAGGACATTTCCTGGTCGGTTTCGCTTGGGGGCGCGGCGGATGCGGTGGTGAGTGTGAGGTCGGATGTTGGGGATGGGAGACTTGGCGCTAACGTCGCTGTTGAGTAAAGGTCGGGTAATATGTGGGTTGATGAGGTTGAGGCGAGTGATGAGCTTGAGTGGTTGGTGTAGTACGATGATGGTGTGGCGGATGACGACGTACTTGATATCCTTGTTGAGAGACCCGTTGAATAGGGTAGTGTGGAGGTTGTGTTGGAATATGATCCCCGCCATCCTGACGCCGATGCAATGATTGTGGGTTTCAAGCGTAGACTTTGTACTGCTGTTGGTCTTGCTGCTACTGCTGTCTCATTTCGTGCTTGGATGAGAGATGCCTTGGAAAAAGGACTCATCCTCTCTGACTGTCGTTTGTACCTCCTGTTGTCGTTGTTTTTCCCGACTTAAGACGATGGAATCGAGCTTGTCGTCCTAAAAATGTCGAGCCGAATCAAACACCCAGTTTTACCCCGATGTTTTACTTGGTTTCTGGAAGACCGGCGCCCTTTTTCCCAGCTACGCGGGGAATGTCGAAGGGAATTAAAAAAAATCGGTTTCTTTCCTTTGTCTTGTCTTTTGCAACGCTTGCTCTTCTTTTTTTTGGTTGTCTCACTTCTCAATTCAATTTTTGCGTGTATGTTTTCAATGTTTTTTCCTTGAGGAATTGTTATATGCAAAGTTGATACAAAATAATTCTTGGAACTAGTGATGCGAAAAGGGTCCAAGTCGAGGATATGATGGTTGGTGGTGTTTGGCGTTGACGCTGCTGTCGCTTTCATTCCTCTGTGGCATGATTCTGGGGTATTTAAAAGAAGATTTGTTGTTTTCTTCAGTCGCAACAACAACGCATGCACGGTTTACCACCTGAGCATTTGCCCTGTTTTGTCGTTGCTGTTCGACTGTTGTCCATGTTTTGCTTTTTCGGGGGACTCAATTGGGATTGTCGTCTCAACAGTTCATTGGCTGCGAGGACTGACCGCCATTGAACACGTGAGGTGCTGGGGGTTTGGATGTTCGGACGGGTTTGGCAAAGAGAGATCTTTGCGCGGGAGTGGCTGGGGAGGCGCGGTGTGGAGAGTGACAGCGCATGGCGGGTGTAGGTAGTAGATATGGTTGTTTTCTAAGGGAGGATGGTTTGTTTACGTGCTTTCTGGGTAGTAAATGTACTGCGTCCGTAGAAGAGGTGTGGACAAGCAGAAATGAGTGTTGCGTTAGTAGGTATGTAGTCATAACAACGTCAAACACCATCTCAAATCACAGCAAAACGAAGAGAAAGAAGACGCGAGTTATTATCTCCGCAAAACATTCTACGATACAACGTCGCCGTTCAGCCTCCCCCTGCACGGTCACCAAGAAGACTATTCGCTAGATATTTGCTTCTTTCCCCACTCAATACACATTTGCTTTTTCGTTCTTCCTCGCGGCATGAACCTTTTGCCCTGTAGCACATACAATTCTACAGCCACAGCGCTTGCGCACCAACTTAGTAGACAAAGTTACCCAACCACCCGCTTATCCTTTCTTTGCTTAGATTGTGTTTGACACAGAGCACAAGACGCGTACGCTCTCTTTGATCGGTGTAGATGTGTTAGTAAATAGAGTTCCTGCCTAAAAGAGTTCAGAGTTGGGATACTTCTCGCTTTGCTGCAAGAGGTTGACAATAGTTGTATGTGATGTAGACTGGGATGTCGTTTCGTTGCTGAACTCATACTATGCTGATACGTGAAATTTCTCGAACTTTTCATGTTGCAGTGCCAAAGTAGGGACTTTCCTTTCCTAGAAAAAAAGCGTGCGAGTCATCTTGCAGCTACCAAAGGAGAAAGTGCGTGCATAGAGCGAGAAGCAACTTTGTTTCTCGTATTTCTTCGGGTAGCTGAGTTGGAAGAAGAACGTGAAGATATCCTTTGCTCGATACAGAAGCATTGGGAACCTCTACCTCTTTCTATTTCTGGCGCGCCTTGTTCTTGATGAGGTGGCTGGGGGCGTTTTGACCGCTGGTTGGACAGATGGCAGGAGATAATTCTTCCTTTTTGTTTACTGGGGTAAAAAGGTAACATTTCCTTTCTAGGTATGTAGCAGATAAAATATCGACGTGCGACACGAGCTTGATAGCAATCTCGCTATCAATTTCTGAAGTAGATTTGAAGATTGAAGCCGTCTTAGTCATGTGAAACTACTTCGTATCATGTACATAACATCAAATCACGTGCTTCGCTACCCCAATATCACCCTAACGCACTACAGTATAAGATAAGGTGAGAGCTTTGCGTGATATTTTGAGTCATAGTTTCGGCATATTTCACCCCTAGGATAAAGCCTCCAAAGATGATTGTCCCAAATTTTAGGATTAATGAGTAGTCGTCCAACATTCGACAGCAAGGGCAACCTCCGTTGTAAAAGTTGACGATTGAGATACTGACGAGTTTCTCACAACAAAATTCAGTCTTATTGTAGTTTTGAACATACCTCGACTTGTTCAAACAACCCTTGAACTCTAGATATAGGACATTCCATAGAATAGCTTTGCGCTTTTTTAGTAGTGTTTTTCTAACAGACCTAGTAACTACAGAACTGTTGATGAGCCCAATGATCCTGTTAATCTTATAAATCCCCCGCGAAACCCATCACCATCACCAATGACCAACGTGCAGCCTGGAAGGATCGGTCCGAATGGAGCGGCAGAGAAATACCGAATACTGTCCAACCCGGTCGAATGTCGGATACATCTACCGTTGGGGTCTTGGCGGTGTAACGATGGTTGGTATAAAGTTAACTGGAAGAACCTCCAACACTGTTGTGAGTACCTGGTTTTCAAAGACAGAAACAGCTTTTTCGAGGCTGTTGGTTCGCTACTATAACACTGCTAGGCTGGGCGGCGGCTGGAATACGATATCCTTGGGACTAGCAGTCCCCACATTGTTGAGGTCTGGGCTACGGTACGTGCACGGGAGGTAGTATGCCTGACTCTTGGTATTGACGAACCTACAAAATTGCACCATCAAGAGTTCACGACTGGATAGTCGACAGCTTAGGATTGCTTCATTACCATCTTGCGAGAATGTTAGAGCATCCACTGTACTATGTAGCTGGAATTGAAACTAACATACCTTTATACTCGTGTCGCGTATTACAGTTTTGCTCTGCTCAACTAAGTATATGCCCCTGAGCAATACCACCAACATTACGACATCGCAGTTGCCTTAAATCTAAGGACACTTACGCAACCCTCAAAGCAATACCTGCTCCAAAATGTAGATATGACGTTCAACAGCAGAATCTGGACCTGTCCAAGCTCGTTGCCCGTCTTAGAGGTGATATTAAGAGGACGGGAACATAGTAATGTAAGATTGCACAAAAGAAAACATGACGTCAGCCAAGTTTCGGCAAAGAACAAGGCTGAGAGGACGGAAAGGGCTCACAATTTATCCCACGAGGCTGCTGCAGAGGAGTGAATTCATAAACATGTTATGCAGCAAGTAAGCGCTGCATAGCGGGCTAGATGTGCCTGTTGCTGACATCTGGGTAGCGTCAGAGTTAATCGAAACGAACAAGGCCAAACGAGACGGAGGGCGGAGAGGCCAAGAGTTTGCCATGGTCGGACAACAAGGGTCCGGTTGTTTCATTAACCAGGTTCCAAGACAATTGTATCTCGCATTGCCTGTTTATACTTGGCCAAAACGCGTATGCAAAGAGGAGACGAGGGCCGTGGACATATAATGTCTGGATCGTTCCCCCCTCCGATGTAAACACTCCGATATCCGGATATATTCGCATCGCAGTTACTTACTCGTTTTTTGTTTTACGTTTTGACAATGTATTCTGCTTTTACTTCTGAGAAGAAACAACAACCACCCCTGCTTCCCGTGGTGGAGGTTGCGGTGGCAGAAAAGGAGAAGCGCCGCCTCGATCACCTCGAATACGTGCTGCTGGCAGCGACGCTGCTCCTGACGGCGTTGCAGTTTTTTGTTCTCTACAGCGCTGGTAGCTGCATGCCCTTTACGCTCAGTGAACACTGTGCAGCCATCGTGACGCAGCTCTCGCGTGGCCTGCGCACGTCCATCCTCGCCAGTCTGCCAACGGCCGCCGTGCTCTTCATCATTGTGCCGTTTCTGGCGCAAAAGCAGCACGTCGTGGTTGCGCGATATACGATTCTCTTCTGGCACCTGGTGTGCTCGACGGTGGGCGCGCTGCTGCTCTAGACGCGCAGGGGTTGGGCTTGACTAGCCTGGGGGCGGGTGCTCGGCGGGCTGCGATAACGGCCGCAGAGCTTACTGCTTGTCCATTTTTTTATTGCAAGACCACCAAGGCGCAGGACGTCAACTGAGTGAGTCACTGGGCATTGCGAGAGATTAAAAGGGTCCAAGGGTACGTTTTGGTCGTCCAATGTACAGGCCATCGTCTGCCTTTGCGTCGTAGCCATTGCCTAGTCCTTGAATCCATACACTGGCCACCTCTAACAGCTACTTGCAGTGCAATTGAGCTTCATTTGCTTTGAAAATCACCATCATGTCTCTTTCACGTTCAAATCCGCGCTTCTTCACACGCACAAATCGCCTCTTCGCAACCCAAATACGATCGTATGCCGCAATTGGCGACGGCGCCATCCCACCAGCCAAAAAGAAGTATGTACCTACTTCTGGTACCTATCCACGCGGCTTCAAGGCTGGCAGCGCACATGTTGGTGTCAAGGCATCCAACACGCGGTTCGATGACCTAGCCATTGTAGCGTCGGACAAGCCGTGCGCCGGAGCAGCTGTCTTCACCACCAACAAGTTCCAGGCCGCGCCCGTCACAGTCAGCAGGGACATGCTGAAGAAGAGGAAAGGCGAGGGCATCAGGGCCATCGTTGTCAACTCGGGCTGCGCCAACGCCGTCACCGGCCGAGGCGGCATCGAAGACGCCATAACCATGGGCAACGAGACCGACGCATGTTTCGCCCGCGACGGCAGCTCACAAGACGACCTCAAAGGCAGCCGCAGCATCGTCATGAGCACCGGCGTCATCGGTCAGCGCCTCCCCATCCAAAAAATCACCTCCAAAATTCCCACCGCATACGCCAACCTGGGCGACTCTCACGACCACTGGCTTGCCACCGCCCGTGCAATCTGCACCACCGACACCTTCCCCAAGCTCCTCTCCCGATCTTTCACCCTACCCAGTACCCAACAGGAATACCGCATAGCAGGTCTGACCAAAGGCGCGGGCATGATCCACCCCAACATGGCCACTCTGCTCGGTATAATCTGCACCGACGCCCCCATTGCCGCCCATCCCTTACGTCAAGCACTGCTTGCGTCCGTTCAAAAGTCCTTCAACAGCATCTCCATCGACGGCGACACCTCCACCAACGACACCGTTGCCGTCTTAGCCAACGGTGCGGGCGGCGGCCAACCCGTTACCTCGGTCGACAGCGCAGATTACACCGCCTTCCAGCGCGTACTCACTGATTTCGCAGTCGATCTAGCGAAGCTTGTCGTCAGAGATGGCGAGGGCGCGACAAAGTTCGTCACCATCCGTGTTACAAACGCTGCATCGTATAAAGATGCTCACCGCGTTGCCTCGACCATCGCTCGCTCCCCCTTGGTCAAAACCGCCTTGTACGGCAAAGACGCAAACTGGGGCCGCATCCTGTGCGCGACGGGTTACGCCGAAGGCGCAGACTCCGTCGTCCCTGCTGAGACGAGCGTGAGTTTTGTACCCGCAGATGGCAGTGCGGAGCTCAAGCTGCTGGTGGATGGAGAGCCCGAGCAAGTCGATGAGGAGCGCGCGGCGAAGATACTGCAAAATGAAGACTTGGAGATTGTAGTGCGGTTGAGTAAGAAGGAGGGTGAGGAGGCGGTGTTTTGGACTTGCGATTTTAGTCACGAGTATGTTACTATTAATGGGGATTATAGGACATAAAGTGCAGTGTGGTGCTTGCGCACGATCAGTGGATTGGAAGGGGGGGGGGGGNGTTGTTAGAACTGATGAATGACATGAAGGAAATGAGAAAAAAAAACGTTCTTTAAAGGGAATTTTTTTTAAATCTATATACCAATATACAAACATTATGACACTTCACGAACACACATACACATATTCACCACGCATGCGAACCAACCACCAAGTCAACCCCCCGCGTTTAAAAAAAACAAAAAACAAAAAACTGAACCCCTCCCCACACACACACACCACAGCCTCTCTTCTCCCTTCTATCCTCGGCATCCATACTCCGACATATCTCAGCCCTACCACAGCACCCCCTCTCCCCTTTTTCCTCAAAAAGCAAGGTGAAAGTGGGGGGGGGGGGGGGGAAGAGCAAACTAAGAAGAAAAAGAAAACAAGGAAAACGGTAATGCATATGAAATGCCGAGCCGGGTGATTTAGATATACCGACGAGTTAGGGACTACAAGGGAGTTAGTTGTGGATGGGATGGGGTGTGTAGGAGAGGAGAGTAAAGTGGAAGATTATAGTTGGTTAGCTGTAGTATGGATGATAAGAAACATCACTCTCATAGTCCAAACATATCTGAAGAAACATGATCCATTTGTTCGCTCGACGCAAAAACAAAGACTATCGAATCCGCTACGTCTGGGCATGCATGTTCTTATCTGCATTTCATCATTAAGCCATATACTAATGACCCACACTCAACCTCTTCAGTGTTCATCCGCTAGTCGACGGTCTCCCACTGCTCACTCCTCCTCCGAAATAAGTGTATATCATTACGCATGTATGTAGGTCGCTGGGCAAAAGGCAAGAAAAACAGTAAACCCCCCCAAAAAACACCTTTGTGTGAGACACAAGTGACAAGCATAGTCAAGTACGCCCCACGTTGGGCCCCGCCGGGCTTGCCACACACCTCTTCCAGTCGAGGCTGAATATCGAATTAGACGCCAAGAGTTTAAAAAGGCCTGTCCGTTGCTTCGTGGGTATCGTTTGTCGTTACGTCGTGAGGTAAGGGATGGTCCAGAGGACGATCCAAAGAGTAGCCAAAGTGATAATCTGGGCGACTGCAATGTAAAAGGCTGCAAGAGAAGAGCTAAAAAGTGTAGTCGCAAGATGAGGGGTATCGAGAATGGCGAAGAAGTAGGTAACCCAGATTCAAGTGTTGAGATCCAGAACGGGGCGTATCAAAGGTAAGGTGCGAATCAAAGAAAGCCAATTAAAACGGCTTAATGTGTGTGTGTGTGTGTCGTTTAGAAGCGGGTGGTTGAGCTACGGGTTAAGCTGGGTCTCGGTCCCTTCTTTTGAGGAGATCCGTTCGGGGCAACAGCCAATTGTCTAGCTCCAATCTTCTCGAAGCCTTGCAGCAGGTCAATGCCTGGCTCGGACTCGTCACTATGGAGAAGATGGAAAATGTCTTCGTCGTCTTGCTGTTGCGACTCGGACTTTGCAGGTGCAGGGAATGACTGAGGGGGTGTGAGAGCATTGTGGCCCTTGTTCTTGATTATGCTGGGATGAGCGAATTCAGCGGTCGGGGTGTCCATGGGAGCCTTGAGCATAGGAGCCTTGATAGGTGACAGGCTCTTGACAGGCGACAGGTCAGGGATATTGAGGAAGGAGGACGACATCTTCCAGTTGGGCGTGGGCGAGTTAGTCTTGGAGCCGGTGATATCGGCAAGGATTCCACTAGTGGTGACGGCGCGCTCGAGACGAGGACGCTTGGCTGAGCGCTTGATGGGGCTCTCGTTGTAGCTAAAGTCGCCAAAAATGTCAAAGGTGCTCTCGAAGCCATGTCCGACAAGGTTGACGTGCTCCTCATTTGGAATGGCGACGGCGGGGCTCCAACTCTTGTTGTCAAGGAAGGAAGTGTCGACCCACATGGCGAGGCTCTTGTCTGGCGAGCCGCCAACCAGCTCGCGCATCTTGTTGCGGTGGTTGCGCAGGTTAGTGTTGGGCGACGCTGATGCAGGGGGCAGGGCCGGACGCTTGAAGACGATAGCAGGGGTTAGAGGGTCGTGAATCTTATCGCCTTTGCGAAGCGGTGACGAGATCATGTGGGTACTGCCAGCTTGCTTCATGTGGGTCCGCGTCTTAGTGGGAGAATCGTAGGAGGAACCTCGAATGCGGGCAATCTCTTCCTCTGCACGTCCTCGTTTCAGGCTGGGACGATCGAGATCGGCTTCGGATGTGAGCAATGGGCCTGCCGGGTTGCCCTTGATTGCTGAGGATTCGATGGATGAGTAGTAGCCGCTGTCTCCAAGGCCGTTGAACTTGCGCTTTCGTCCGCCGGAACGGCTGTGCGACGGGAAGCGTGGAGCACGCGGCGGCGTGTCCTCACGCACCGAGCGCGAGCGCGAGACTGGAGGAGGCGGCGATGAATGAATGTCTGCTGGTGGTGGCGAAGATGGTATCTGGCGAGGCGGTGGCATGCTTAGAGGATCCTGTCCGTCGTGCGCAGCTGGATCCGAACACGGAATAGTGGCTTCTGAAGAAGGCAGGTCGTTGTCTTCAGGGTACTTGCTCGAGTCAAAGCCCTTTGTCGAGCTTAGAGGTGGGAAGCTGGCTGTGGCAGATGGTGAAGGACGGGGAAGATCGCTGGTGTATACTGGTGCGAAGGACTCTGGCGGGGCCGGGCGGCGGATGGGCTTGACCTTGTGGTACTGCTTCTCGAATCCAGCGTTGATGACCCAGTAATGGCCCTTTCCTGGGTCGTCCTTGGGCCGCTCTTGCTTGGAGAATGACTTGCTCAGGCTGAGGTTGTGGCGGATGCTGTTCTGCCATCCAGTCTCTTGTGAGTTGCGGTAAAAGGCAAAGGTGTCTGAGATCCACTTGTAGATTTGGGCAAGTGTTAGTCTGCGGTTTGGTGCGCGTAGAATGGCCATGCCAATGAGCATGGCATAGCTGTAGGAGGGCTTGTTGCCATCGTCTTCTACGCTGGGCATTTGGTCGGGATCGGGCAATGGGCCGTCGGCTTCCTCGGTTTTGATGTCTTTGATAACTTTTTGCTTCTTGGTGGTTGAAGCAGAGTGAGTGGTAGTGGTGTTGAAGTTGGTTCGGTCGCGCAGTGGGGCGCTAGGGGTCATGAGCGGCTGCTTGGACGCGTGCTTCATTGGTGGCTCTGTTGGCGACGTGGCGGACAGGACGGGTCCGGCATAGTAGGCGTTTTCTTTGTCCATGTGGGAGGCGTGGCTAGGCCAGTACTGGAGATGGCCCGCCATTGAATGGGCGTGGTGCAGCTGCTGCGAGAGGGTGGGCTGGTCCTTCTTTGCAGGCGCGTCGGTGCGGAAGCGCTGCTCCTTGGGAGGGGGTATCTTGAGCGTGTCGAGGCCCTTTTGGACGAGTGCGGTGGGAGGTGGAGAACTGGAGACTTGGCGGGCCTTGCGGGGCGAGGGTTTGGCGGTGTGGGCAACGGGGGGAGCAAGAAGGGTGTTCGCAGCGTTGGACACGTCGGCGATGTGGGTGACAGGGTGGGTGTGGCGGGTGTCAGCGGCGTTTGCTGGGCGTGGTTGGTGGTGTAGATGGTGAGGCTGCACAGGGTCCTGAAAAATCTGCATGGAAGGGTGTCGACGCGCTGCAGCCATAGCGAGACCAAGCTGCAAGGGCTCCGACAGCCTTGTATAGTCTCTCCAGACGCTATGACGCGTGAAGTCGCGTGTCGGGAAGCAAAATGGAGGCGTCGGGCCTACTGAGCACGGTCGGTGCGGGAGGTGAGTGTCGAGATTGCGCTGACGATTGCCAAGCGCGTGGTTGAAGAGGCGGTAAGGTGCAGGCTGTCAACTATGGGCGGACGGGTGCAGCGTAGCATGTACAAGGCAATTTTGACGCGACAGAGGGCAGAAAGGAGGCAGTTTGGGGGGTGGTGGGACGTGGAGTGTCTAATCCCGTGCGGCCAGGTGAGGCAGCGGAGCAATTCGCTTGTACGCGCTAACAAGCAAGCTGCGACGAGTGCTGGAGTAATGGCGGGTCCGCAGGGTGGAGCGGTGTAGCGTTGCTTTTGGGTATGCAGGTAATTGAGCGTTCAATGGGAGGCAATTGAGCAGGTGAAAGGGGGGCAAAGGGGGGAGGGTTGTGTGGGAGGTGGAGGATGAGGAAGAGGGTAAGCGGGGGTGAAGGAAGGGAGAGGCAGACAAACGGGCAGGTAACAAGAGAGGGAGCGAGAGAGAGAGACGCGGACGCGGACGCGGTGGACGGGGTCTGGCTTGGGTGTTTGGCTGGCTGGCTGGCTGGCTGGCCTTAGCCATTACCGTGACCTATCCCCATCTACTTACGCCCGCTACCTTGTCGTGTCTATTCGTACCGTGTCTGGTCTGGGTACATAGTAGCCTGCTTGGCCTGCCTTGCCTTGGTTTGGAGGAATCACGGCCTGGCTTCGTGCAGCTTACCACGCTTGGCTGCCACTGTGCAGAGTATACCTGCAAGGGCGTCGAGCCAATCACCGCCCCCAAGCACGCGTTCCCTTGGATCCGGCCCACGTCATGCCCCAGTCGACCTCTATCCTCGCCCATCTCCAGCACCATCCTCGTGCCGGCACTTGACACTAGCCAGCTGTTCGCCATGCCCGCCATGCCCGCCCGCATAAACACTCAATCTTCCCTCTGTCGGCATCTGGACCACACGCCCCTTATGCGCCGCTGCCATTGAATCGGAGCCCATCTGGCCACTCGCCGCCACGTCGACGGGCTCGGTGGAAACATGTGCACGCCTCGACGAAGCGCCCGCTGAAACAGGCGCTCCAGCAGCGTCAACGTCGCGGCGGCCAGGCCGTCCGTGGATAGCATCTGTCTACCGTATGCTAGTTTCCTTACATGTCTGCCGCCCGCAGCCTATCCGAGCCCTCAGCGAGCCATCTTCCGATCCAGCCGCTAGGGGCGCATGAAACTCGACAACACCGACCCTGGCTCATAGCGCCCACCTCAGCTCGCCCACCGCAGGCAGCCACAGCACAAGCCCGCTGCCCTCTACCCTAACCCTGCACTGACACAAAAGCCCACGACACTCCTGCCTGTCTGCCCATCACCCGCCCGGTCCAGACGCTTCTTTGTCCTCTGTCCCGCCCACGATGCTCATTTCGATCGCTACAACTCCTGCCGCACGGCTCTCCAGACACCACGGCAATCGCAAACACGCACAATGGGACATGCGCGCTCGCCCAACGTCGAGGCATCGTTTTTCTGTTCCTATCGCGCAATGCTGCTAATCTCATCCTTAACTGGGCAATACGCTTGTCCTAGTGTACCCCCCCCCCCTCTCTCTCTCTCCGTTGTATTCCGTCTTTTCATGCGACTGTCCGACTTTAGGTAGACTACCACCAACTATCTCCACGCGCCAGTGAATGCACCCCACTCAACTGCCGTCTCTGCAGCTCACGATTGTTCCCATTATCCGGGTTACGCCTATCTTTGTCATAATCCATTGTTGTCTTTCCCATTCTGAAAACCTGATTATATCTTTGTTTTCTTCCCATTCCCTTCCTTTCGGGCTTTGAAAACTCCATATACCCTTGCTTCGTCAGTTGTGCCTTGATTTCTCGAAGCCCGACGCTAGCCAGTTGTCAAAAAACGTCTGTGGTTCTTTTAATATCCCCTTAAGCGAGAGAGGGCCAGCTTTGCCTCTCTTGCCCTTTCCAGCAAAAAACAGAAATCACGATCCACCGCCCGCTCCTGCCCGCCGTCCGCACACCCACCCGCCGGACCTCTCTCCGATGATTTGCCAGACTGTGGGCCCCACGGCGGGCGCATCATTGCTGATCATCCTCTCTCTCTGTCCACCATCTGAGCACCGCGTCCACCGCAAATTGTTCATAACCCGATTACCGAACTGATTATTTTATTTCCTTTTTTTCGGCACTAGCATAACTTCATCACCGAGCCTTAATTCAAACTAACGACGTCATTCTTCCCCCCCCCCAAACTGACTCGCTCCCCCTACCCGTCCCGTAGGTGTTAATCCTCTCTTAGCCCACCGGCCCTCTTCGATCCCGATTACAATCGGCCAACTCTTCTACCACATATCCTTGCCCTCATCTGTCCTTTGCTCACCCAAAATACCCATGTTACCCCTGCGTTGTCAACGTCTCTTGCACAAACTAAGACATGTCACACTGTCACTTCACAACAAGCATCATCCCTTTCTACACCTCTACCCTACAGCCAAAGAAACCCTAATACAAAATAAATCTAACAAGGATGATATTACAAAAAAGATTTCCGTATCCGTATTCCCACCCACTAATCTACCCATACCTCATCTTGAACAACTCACCTGATTTTCGCAATGTCTCGACATAGTGCTCACCCTTCGTCATCGTCGTCGTCGTCGCCGTCGCTGTCGTCTCGAAACCTTATGTCGAGACCTCCCCCTACCCCCC